CTCCTCCTCCTCCTCCTCTCTCCTCTCTCCTCCTCCTCCTCCTCCTTCTCCTCCTCCTCCTCCAGGACTCGATCTCGCGTCACTTTTCGTGGTCGCCGTCGTTGCCGCCGCCGCCGCCGCCGCCGCCGCCGCCGCCGCCGTCGTCGTCGTCGTCGTCGTCGTCGTCGTCGTCGTCGTCGTCGTCGTCGTCGTCGTCGTCGTCGTCGTCGTCGTCGTCGTGGTCGTCGTCGTCGTCGTCGTCGTCGTCGTCGTCGTCATGTTCGTTGTGGTCGTCGTTTTGTTCGCCTCGTCCTCGTCTGCTCTCGGTGTCAGCTTCTGCAGACTCGGGCACTCCAGGGGCCTCCAGAGGGCCTCCGTTGGGGAGGAGGAGGTCAGCAGCGATTGGCAAAGCAGGGCTCAGAAGCTACCTCCCAGTCTCCAAGCCAGCCTCATGTTCCTGCCCCTAGCCACCTCCCCTCGTCCGCGCACACCCGCCTCTGCCCGTGCATCTCTGGCCTCGTGCTGCCCTTTTCGATCTCAGACCCGAGACGTTGTGCTCCTTTTCATCCCTGAAGCTCTGGACGCCCCCTTCACCCAGAACCATTTTTCGGTCGCGGGCATTGCTTTGATGGTCCCAGGGGCGGAGGGCGCCGACCATAAATGTACCTGATTACGCCGATCCTGGCCAAGCCAATCCTGGGCCCCCGATCGGTGTACATTATGCCTCGGGAGCAGTCGCCGTCGCCGTCGCGAGAGGAGAGAACAAAATTCATAATGTGTGCGATCATCCAACGATGCGAGCCACGACGGTGTGATCCTGCGGTGTTGAAGCAGAGCAGAGGTGGGAAGACGACGAATTCAAGAGAAGATGAGTCCTGAACCACAGCGTGGCCAGTCGAAGACTACCGCAGACTGTTCAATAACCACGCGCGGCGAATCCACCACCCAACGCGAGTCCGCCGCCCAACTCCCAGCGCTAGGCGGCCCAGTTCTACCCTCCCACGCGACGCTCATGGAACCAGCCAGAACATCTGCACCACCCCTGGGTCCTGCTGCTGCTTCTGTCCGCCCCCGACCTGTGCCCCTGCGCCCCGCGCCGGGCCTGCTGCAGGATGCCGTGTACGCCATGTCGGGCCACCAGGCGCGCGGCTCCCTCTTCCTCCGCCTTGGGGGGCCCTCCCCCCCCTGACGTCCCTGCGCCGTGCACAGGCCACGACGGGAAGGCCGTTTTCGGCTTCTGGGGCCCTCGCTGGGCCCCAGGATCACGAGAACAAGGGCGCCCTCGAGGGCGCGAAATTAATCTCGCTTCGCGCTTCGCGATTGGGCTCCTCATCCTCCTCATCCTCCTCTTTTCCCCTGGGAGGCGGCGCGAGAGCGCGAAGTTATTCGCACTTCGCGCTTCGCGCAGCGCGAGGCGCGGAGTTGGGAGCCCTTGGAGAAGTCGACTCGGAAGGAAAAGCCAGTCCCTGGGAAGGGGTCCGGACCTCTGAGAGAGCGTCGCTTGAGTATGCTGGGAGGAAATCAGCGTGGGGGGGTTCGAGCCCCTCCCCCCTCCCAGGGGGGATTTGAAACCCTCCCCCCCCTCCAGAGTGAAAGTCAAGTGGGGTGAGTTTCAGCCCCCCCTGCCGCGCCGGCGCCCCCCGGACGCCAGTGAATGACGAATCAGAACGAGGACGACCAATACGACGACGAGGACAGCGAGGACGACGAGGACGACAACAACCACGTCTTGCCCGCTTGCCCGACTGTCCACGACGGCGACGTGTCCCGCCCGCCCGCCCGACCGACCGTCTCGCTGGCAAAGAACCACGACGGCGACGACGGCAGCGACGACGACGACGACGACGACGACGACGGCGGCGGCGGTGGCGGTGGCGGCTGCGGCGGCAGTAGACTCCTGGGGACACCCGTTTTGAAGAACATCAGGACGGAGTTTTGTTCGTCGTTTTTGGCCTGTGGGGGCCGTTACCTGGCCCGGCACCGTCAAAAAGCGACCAAGGATGGAAAACCAGTTCTTGGGAAAGGGTCGGGGTTTTGGGGAGCCCGTGCTGAAAAATTCAGGACATCGCATATCTGGGGTCGGAGGCCCGGGGGGAAGGAGACGGCCCCAAGCTTGCACCGCAGCCGATGGAGGACGGCAAGGCTCTCTCCCCTCCCTCTTCTCTTTGTCCTCCCCTCCTCTGGCAAGCCCAGCCAGTTGGCACAGGCAGCCCAGCTGGCCCAGCCCAGCCCAGCCCAGCCAGTCCAGCCCAGCCAATCCAGCCCAGCCGTACCCGCGCCCAGGCGCAGATGATGATGGGCTACCCTGGTATGTGGGGGCAGCCTGGCGCGACCATGGACCAGATGTCCTGGGCACGCCTGCGGGGCGGCAAAAGTGTTTGGCCAGGAGTGTTCAGAGTCGCCGAGCGCGTTCCACTACTCGCAAAGTGCCTACCCGCAAGCGTCCGACAAAAACACCATGCCTGGCGGACCCAGGCCATTTGCGTTAGGTCGGGCCTGTCCCCCTACAGGGGGATTATCAACGAAAAATAAAACATACTCCCAATTTTGTCCAGAAGTAGTCAAAACAAAGAAAACGGGGACTATTTTTGGAATATTTTTGGACCTTTTTGGTGTATTTTTTCAGCATCTTTTATTTCTCGTCGAAAATCCCCTTGCAGGGGGACACGCCCGACTTCACATTTTGCGAGTAGCTACCTTGCGAGCAGTGGAACGCGCTCGGGGTCGAAGGGCGGTGGGGGCGTGGGGAGGATGCGCGGGGGCGGGGGGTGGCGACCCAGGTCCGTCGAACCCGGGTCTGGCGAACTGGTCCCTGCTGTCGACCTGGTCCTCTGTCGCACCGGTCCTCGGTCGAACCTAGGGGAACAAAAAGTGACATAAATATAACAACTCGGAAGTCCGCGCGGATTTCTCGGATCGGCGCTGGACCCCCCCGGCGGCGCCGGAGGCGCCGCCCCTGGCGCGCTCCGCGCGCCAGGGAGGGGGGTCCAGCGCCGATCCGAGAAACCCGCGCGGACCTCCGAGTTCTTATGTTTATGTCACTTTTTGTTCCCCGAAAACCGCTCCCCGTCGAGCCTGTCCCTCATCGAGCCAGCCCTGCACCGCGGGGGAAGGAATCGGAGGGGGGATGGGATGGGCGAGGGGACGGGAGGGGAGGGTGGACGGGAGGGCAGAGGGGGAGGGAGGGGAGGGGAGGGGAGAGGTTAGAGCGGAGGGTGGATTGGAGGGGGGAGGCAGGAGTGGGGGAGGGGGCACTGGATCGCGCGGGTCCGCGAGGCTCCCCAGAGGCCTGGACTCTCCGTGGGGACCGGCCTCTCGCCTTCAGCCGTTTTGACGGCCCCCCTGCGGACAGCGGCCGGAGATTGTCAGGAACCTGTCCTGGAAGCGTGTGCTCCGGCGCACACGCGCAGTAACGTCAC